TCAAAACAACCTTCTGAGGTAAGCAGGGCAAAGATTTGTATCTCCACTGAGGAAGATAAAATGACATCCATCGATGGCATAGGAAGTAGCAGGGCACAGACTCAAACCAGATCTGCTGACTGCTGGTCTTTCCACAGCATCAGCCAACTCCTATCACACAGGTGTCCCCATTGTGTCATTTGTCACCAAGTGAGAAGGGAGACTGTTTTGAGCCCATGACTTTTGAAGTGGCTTGTGACTGATGATCATATTTCCGAACCACTAAGTAGTAAACATAGTCTGTAAGTAAACCCAAAGCAGACTGGGGAGATTTGGGATTGATTGCACTGTTACAGGGGCTTTTGGATTCCTTCTACTATTGCTTTTTCTTTTCTTTTTCTTTTTGGTTTTTGAGTCACACCTGGCAGTGCTCGGGGCTTACTCCTAGCTCTGTGGTCAGGATTTACTCTTGGTGGGGCTCAGGGGACCATATGAAGTACTGGGGATCAAACCCATGTAGACCAACCGTATGCAAGGCAAGTACCTGCTGTACTATAGCTCTAGTTCCTACTCCTTTTTCTGCTAAAGATAGAGTTCCCATTCCTCAGAGTTCACCAGTCTACAGGGTACAGGTTGGTGATTTTCAGTGTATCTAATATTCTGTAACTATAATCACTATTACATTCCAGAATGTTTTATCACCCTAGAAACTAAAACCCTATAATTATCAGCAACAATTTTATCATTTGTCATTTTCCAACCCTAGGCACCCTCCAGTTTACTTTCTCACTGAATTTGCTTATTCAGGACATTTCCTGTAATGGGGTCCAATGACTTGTGGTCCTGTGAAACTGTGAAACTGTTTCCATGATTGATCTGTGTGGTAGGATAGCAGTAATTTTTATTACTGATTAATAATCCATGCATTATGTTATATTTTATTCATTTATCAATTGATAGAAATTTGACTTGTTTCTATATTTTCTCTACGTGAATAATGCTTTTAGGAACAAATATGTTGTACAGATTTTTATGTTTTCATTGATACCCCTTATAGAGTCATAGAGTAATTGGTCACATGAAAACACCCTCTGAATCCCCCTCACAACTTTACATTCCAGCTAGCTGTTGATGAGGATTTCTATTTCTCCACATCCTTGGCCACTTTTGTTTTTGTAGCTGTTTTATTAGCTTTGAAATGATACATCATTGTGGGTTTGATTTGTATTTCTCTGTTGAGTAATGATGTTGAGCATTTTTTAAGTACTTATTGTTCATTTACATATTTTCTTTGGCAAACTCTCTATTCAGTTCCTTTGCTTTTTGTCTTTTTTCTTTGTTTTGGTGGTTATACCATCTTTTCTCAGGGCTTTCCCCGGCTCTGTGTTCAGGGATCACACCTGGCAGTACTGGGAGACCAGATACAAAGCCCAGGATGGAATCAGAACTGATCACATGTAAGACAAGCATCCTAACCCCTTGTGCTATCATCTCTTTGGCCCAGGTTTGATCCCTGGAATCCCATATTGTTCCCTAAACACTGCCAGGAGCAATTCCTGAGTGCAGAGCCAGGAGTAAGTCCTGAGCATCACTGCGTATAGCCCAGAAATAAACAACAAGAAAAGCAAAAGTGTATCTCTCTGTTCCATGCCTGTTTTTTTAATATCTTATTTGTCTTAGGTTATTTACTTAGAGAAATTATACATCTATTTATATATCTATTTATATCTATATATTTATATCTATATATATTTATATATCTAGTTTATAGAAATAACTAGAAATTATTTATATATCTAGTCTTATAGGGAATTTGCAAATTATCTTTCACATTCTGTGGGCCATCTTTTCACCATTTTCCTGGTGTCCCCATAATTGGACACTGCAAGAGTGCTGTGTATGTTTGGGGAGAAGGGTGCTCAGGCTTAACAACTCTGCATGTCCAGGGCTTGAATGCTCCTCGCATATCCCAGACACTCTCTCCCCCATCAGAGCATTTACCCTGACCTGACCACAAGGGCTTTCTTTAGTTTTCCTTGGGAAAGAGCTCACCTAAGGGCTCACTCCTGGCTCTATGCTTAGGGATAACTCCTGGCAGGGCTGAGGGGACCATATGTATGTCAGGGTCAAGCCAGGTCAACTACAGGCAAGGCAGATGTCCTCAATCACTATACTATCTCCCTGGTTCCCACAGAGGGTTTTATTTGGGGTGAAGTACAGTGTTCTATTGTTTGTACACTTAAGACTGAAAGTTCTATTTTGTTGTTATTTTTTTTTTAAATCATCTAGTTCAAGTTTATGCTGGTGCTGCTTTCTTAGAATTTTTTTTACTGTAGTTTGATCTGTTTTTAGCTTATTTCTAATATGAAATTGGAGTTTCAGCTATGTTCTTTCATATGGGATTCAGCTACATAGTTTTAAATGTGTTATTTAATTTCCCTGTACTATCTGTTGAAAAGAATTTCACTGTTCATCTTGGGCCTAGGGATAACTCTGGCAGAATGGGAGCTGCCTTGCTAGTGACCCCTTGAGCTGCTGCAGTGTGTGTGATCTCTGGGGCACAGACAGGCGTGTACAAGCACTGAGCTAACACTCAGCCAGAAGCACCTCTGCAAGCACACAGTTCAGATCTTCTTGGCACCAGAGACCACGGTGCAAACCCCAGTCAGATGGCAGCTCCAACTAGCACACAGCCCCAACCATAGCCTGACACATGTGGCCCGATCATAACAGAAGTGGCGGAGTGAAAGGGAGAGGAAGTAATTAGGCTTTTCTGAAGAGGAAGGATTCAAGGATGGATGAATTTGAGCAGAGATAATGTATTGAGTCATAATTTAACCAAGGATAAGATAACATGATTTTCTTTTTACCCCCAAAGTAAATAAAATTTTGGTAGCCTCCTCCAACTGGAGCAATAGCACAGCGGCTAGTGCATTTGCCTTGCACAGGGCCGACCCAGGTTCGATTTTTGTCCCTCTTGGAGAGGCTGGCAAGCTACCAAGAGTATCCCGCTTGCACGGCAGAGCCCAGCAAGCTCCCTGTGGCGTATTCGATAGGCCAAAAACAGTAACAACAAGTCTCACAATGGAGATGTTACTGGTGTCTGCTCGATCAAATCAATGAACAATGGGAGGATAGTGCTACAGTGCTTTCCAACCCAATTTTTAGCAAAAAGTATTACCCAGCTGATCCTACGTCTTTGGAACTCGAATAGATGCTCTTGTATCATTTCCTGCTGTGACAGAACTGAGCATGTCATGAGAAAGGAAGGCAGAGGAAAGGCACCAAGTCCAAGTCAAAATTCTGCAGATTCAGGGACCGAGGCATTGGCCATAGAGGGCTGTGTAGCGCTCAGTCAAGGGTTGGGTCCCAAGAGGTTTAAAGCAGATGAAGCACATTCCTCGACCTATGTAATATCTCATTTACTTGGTGTCTTATCTGCTTAGAGTTGGAAGGGAGCAGAATGAATGTATCTGGATTAATAGAAGTAGATCCCAACATAGAGGAGGAATGTGGAAGCTTGCTCCATGATTACATTGCAGGAATGTGAATAGTATTCCTTTCATAGTTGCTTTCTTTTTTTCCCTAAAGATTATCACACATTCACGAAAGTCCTGTTTCTTCTAAGTCTAGATGCACTGGAGAGAAATGTCTGTGGCAGGCTGGGAGTGGAAGATGGTGACTGGAAGGGCCTGGATTCCAAAGTAGAAAGCACTTGAACATGCATTTCTCCAATTATAAAAGTTTAGTATAGGGAACTCAGAGATAGTACAGTGGGGAAGGTCAACATGGGTTTGATCCTCAGCAACCCATATGGTCCCCCAAGCACTGCCTGAAAGAGTGATCCCTGAGCACACAGCCAGGAATAACCCCCGCTTATCTCCAGGTGTGAACCCCCCCTCAGGCTTAATATGGGTAAAAAAAACAAGATTGGGTAACAGTAAAACTCAATAATTTGTTATCTATAAAGAATCACCATGAATAATTTTATTCTTTTTTTGTCACATGTTCAGACTTAGGTTATTGGAATTCTGTTTATATATCTAATTTTCTTATGTTATTTAACAGTCTGCGTTATTTTCTCCTACTGCGTGTATTCAATGTAATAGGTGTACAGAAGAGATTGAAGTGAGCCCTTAGGTGGTTCTCTTGGATGCTCTGACGTAGATGGTTGGTACTAGTCCCCTCACTGGGTGTCTTCCTGCCTGAAGGCTGCAGTCAGTGACCTGTGCAGTGGGCCTGTTTGTGGCTGAGTGGCCCCACACTGTTGAAGAGGGATCTAGCCAGCCATTTCTACAGAAGTTCATAACACAGCTTAATTTTTAGCTTCTTTCTCAAAAAAAATTTGAAAAACATTTTCTTCTCACATTTGCTTTCTTATGACTTCCCTGTGATAGTGAAGATCTTTGATTTGTTACCATTTTTCATCTCCTTTTCAAACTTTGATTTATTGAATATGGCAGAGCATGTGGAGTGGCAGAGGTTGAATCCAGGTTGGCCGTGTGCAAGGCAAGCACCCTACCTGCTGTATATTTGCTTTGGCCTCACCATTTCTTAAAATCTTTCTAATTGTTGTTTAGATAAAATATTCAAGACATAGAACCCTACCTTCAATGAACATAAGAGTATTTTCAGTGTTTTGATTGTTTTCTGCTGAAGAACATTCCAGGGAAGCATCATATTATAGGATTATCAGAATGATGGCTAGTTGGGAGGCATAGTTCTCACTCTGCTCTCCTGCCAAACTTTCACGTGATTTTAGAGAGCCCAGGAGCCTCCAAGTCAGCTTCTCAGCTGTCCCAGGCTGACAGCATAGGCCACATTGGAGCCCCTCTTCCCATCAGAGAGAAGGATTTGTGTGTGAAAGCCATTGAAGATGGGAAGATCTGAAACTTGCATTGCCATTTAATTTGGAAATCAGTAAGCACAGAACAGGCTATGATAAGTAAGATTGTGGTTGCTTGTTACTCGTCTTAAAGTAATGGGAGATAACTTACTTTCATTTTCTGTTTCTTTTACAGTCCATCAATATTATGGAACTGACTTTACAGAAATACGGAAGTTATGAAAAATTTGAGCAGGCTACTGGTGGTAGCCTGTTATCTAAAACCCGAATCTGGAGCCATGTTAGAAAGTACATGGTGAAAGAAGGCTGCATGGGCGAGGTATGACCAGGCAACACTCAGTTGGCACCACACAGTCGTTTGCATGTTCTGTCCTCCCTGCCCTGTTTGACTCGTCAGTGACGTAGGGTGCTCATTAAGTATTGGAAAGTTACATTGCTATTGCATTGAGCTGTTGGGTTCAGTTTTAGTATTTTTCTTTTCTTTCTACTCTGCCAGTATATATTGAAGGATCTGTGGTTTTGTGAGTGTGTGTGTGTGTGTGTGTGTGTGCGCACGCGCACATGCGTGCGTGAGTGTGGTGTGCTAGGTATCAAACCCAAGGTCTGACACACATAAGGCAGCTGCTGTACCACTGAGCTATGTCCCTTGCCCTTGGGAATTGCTCCTGAAGATTCTTCCTGAAGAGATGACCGTCTGGTTTCTCTTTAGTAGGGAGCCAGGCTTCAAGCTCACAGGTCAGTAACCTTTGACTTGGCAATGAATCAGACTCTGACTCCTGGGCCTCTTTTGCATCATTTCATCTGTACTTGAGAGGACAACAGAGGTACAAGCACATTACTTACAATCCAGTAAAAGATTCCTGAGTCCCAAAAAAGTCAGAGTTGGAAGAAAGAATTAAAAGTGATTGTTTCTCCATTTTGTCATCTTGGTTTCTAGAAGGTTTTGAAATGGTTGTGAACTTAAGAAAAGGTGATGGTTTATGGGTGTGTTGTTCCTTGTGATTCCCCCCATCTTCACAGCCTGCTCTTTATTTGTGTCTTTCCTCTGCTTTGGAGATTGTAGTTCATCTTACTGAGGACCTGCTCTCCCGAGCTTCCATGACAGTGGTGAACGGGTGTCCAACGCTGTCCATCAATGTGTCCACTGCACGTGAGCACTGGCTGGAAGGAATGCTGAGACATGAGATAGGTAGGGATATCCTCTTCCCTCCCTGTCTTACAAGGCCAGACATCAGCTGCAGATATGGTCTTCTGCTGGGGTTTTCTGTTGCAATTGGGAAAACATCATCAAATGGCTAGGTTTTATCTGAACGGAAGCTATCAACGTCTCATTTCAAGTTTTTCAGGCACTGTTTAGTGATATTAAGCTTGAAAAAGTCATTGAATTCTTTGGGTTTTAGTTCTTCCATTTTCAACAGAGAATTAAAATTATCTCACCTTTTCAAATATCAAGTCTATGACTTCCCTTGAGAAAAAAAAAATCAGTGATGAAAGTTATACCTGGCCTTGTTTTTGCTTTGCCTGCTCACCTCAAATTGATTTGGAACCTGAAGGAGTCCCTTTTGGAGATGTTAAAACAAGAATGATTGCCATTACTTCTCATGGTTCTTTTCTTTTCTGTAGGCACACATTATTTTCGAGGCATTAACAACCTCCAGCAGCCATGGAACAGTTGGACTGGCCGTAAAAAACATGAGCTCAAGCCCAACAACCCCACGGAGGAAGGCCTGGCCAGTATCCACAGCGTCCTGTTCAGGAAAGACCCCTTCCTGTGGCGGGCTGCACTCCTCTACTACACTGTCTACCAGGCCAGTCAGATGTCCTTCTGTGAGCTCTTCAGAGACATCGGCAAGTTTGTCAAGGACCCCAACACCAGGTGGGACTATTGCGTACGTGCCAAGAGGGGATTGACTGATACTTCCCAGCCAGGTAGGTGCCCCTCAGCTTGAGGTTTTCTGGGATGGGGGTAGTGTATGTTGATTCTGCCTGTATTTTAATCTGCCGGTCAGAATCCTCACTATGAAAAACTAATGCTTTATTACTTGAGATAAGTGCTGATTTTCCGCAAACTTAATTTTTAAAAAATTTTTTGTTTTTTGTGCCACATCCAGTGGTGCTTAGGGCTTTCTCCTGGCTCTGCACTCAGGTATTACTCCTGGTGGTGCTCAGGGAACCAATATGGGATGCCAGAGACTGAACATGGGCCCTCTTTTTTTAAATGTAGGAGTACTGCTATTTATTCAGCCACTGATTAGCTGATTGAATTGTGCATGAACTCCACCTTACTTTTTTTTCATTTTTTATAATTTTATTTATTGAATCACTGTGAGAGCAGTTACAAAAGCTTTTGGGTCTAAGTCTTGGTCATACAATGAAACATCCATACCTTCACCAGTGCCCATTCTCCACCCCCAACAACCCCAGTATACCCCCATCCCACACTCTCCCGCTACCTCTGGGGCAGATGATTTCCACATTAATCTCTCTCTACTTTGATCACATTCAATATTTTGACACCAGACCCACCATTATTATTTGAGATTTTACCTCAACACTCAGATCTGCTGAAAAGACAACAGTAGACAATTTGTTTTCTATTGCTGGTTATGAATAACATATGATGTCATGTGGCTGCAGTAGTGGCTGCGCGATTTTGAAATTTTAACTCTTAAATCTGGAGGGATTTCTGCCAAAACCTGCTGGGTTTCGAGATTTGCTCCTGAGTCTCTGGGATCATGGCCGTTAAGCAGCTTGATAAGGAGCCAGAAAAGCCGTTCGTGGGCGATGCCTTGGGGTCTCGTTGGGGTGGGGTGGACAGGACCGGCTCCACCCCCATCCCGTGAGGCCCAACAAGTCTCATCACTGCAGACCCAAACCTGACCATTCAATGGCCTCTGGAGGATGACGGCCACCAAGCCGCCAAGGGGGAGCAGGCAGAGGGACAACACCCTTTCCCCCCTGGGGTGGCCGGGCGACAGTAACCTACTGCGTGGTCTGGACGCATTTCTGCCAAAAGCCACTGGATTTCAAGATTTGTTTCTGAGTCTCTGGGATCATGGCCGTTAAGCAGCTTGATCAGGAGCCAGAGAGGCCGTTCGTGGGTGATGACTTGGGGTCTTGTTGGGGTGGGGAGGACAGGACTGGCTCCACCCCCATCCCGTGAGGCCCTGCGTGTCTCGTCACTGCGGGCCTAAACCTGACTGTCCAGTGGCCTCTGGAGGATGGCAGCCACTGGGCCGCCAGGGGGAACAGGCCAAGGCATGAAACCTATTCCCACCTGGGTTGGCCTAGCACCGGTAACCTACTGTAGGGACCGGACGCATTTCTGCCAAAAGCCGCTAGGTTTCGAGATTTGTTTCTGAGTCTCTGGGATCATGGCCATTAAGCAGTTCAATCAGGAACCAGAGAGGCCATGCCTCCAATTATATAGCTGAGTTGGAGGTGGTTGGTGGGTGTGTTTCTCACATACCTAACTTTTGGCTGTTTACTTTCTTGGTAAACTTTGCCCCAAGTTTTTGGGGTCTGGCCAAAGACAAAGCAGCAATTTTGGGGTATCTGGAAGTCTGAAGCCACCATCAGACTGCTGATGCACTCGCCTCACCGGTACAGATTGACCTGCTGGTGGCACCATACCCCCATGGGTCCTCTTTATGTGTAGCAATTACCTTACTCACTGTACTACTCCTCTGGCCCCCCAAACACATTTGTTAGTTTGTCAGTATTAGTTTTCCCATCTGTCTTTGAAAAACTTCAGTCCAACCAAAATACAGACTGGTAGAATGAATCATTCCACCTCTTTTCTATCTCTATAACTTTTTAATGTTTTTTTTTGAAATTTTAATATAGACACCATATAATTCACTTATTTGAAATAGAGTTTACTGATTTTTAGAATATTCATAGAGTTCTGTCATCACTACTAATTCTAAGGTATTTTTCATAATCCACTCCCTCAAAAAAAAACCCAAGTTTCTAATATTGGAGATACAGTACAGGGCTTATGGCACTTGCCCTGCATGTAGCCTGTTTGGTTCCAGCAGTGCATATGGCTCCTGGTGTGACCCCAATCACCCACCCTCCCCAAAAGCAGGTACCCTGTTAGATTTTGCTTCCCATTCCTTACTTCAGAACCCAGCTCTAAGCAGCCACTAGGCTGCTTTTATGGACTTGCCTGTTTTGGACATTTCATATCAATATAATTACTTCCTTTGTTGTTGCCTATGGTTGGCTTTCACTTAATGGAATGTTTTTTAGGGTTCACTTGTATTTCATCATGTATCACTGTTTCAGCACTTTCTTTGCTGAGTAATATTACATTGGATGAATGTATCATATTTATTCACCAGCTGATGGGTATTTGGGTTGTTTCCAAATTTTGTCTATTTGATAGTATTTCTCTGAACACATATATAACACGTTTGTTTAATTCTCTTGAGTATATACTTCAAACTGGAATGTTGAAGTATATGGTAGCTCTTTATTTAACCTTCTGAAGAGTTATCATACTATTTTCCAAAATTCCTCAGCCATTTTACATACCCACTAGCAGAGTATGAGGATTCCTATTTCTCCACATCCTTACCTATACTTCTACATCATTTAATATTTGTATTTGAAAAATTATATGGATATGAAGAGGTTATTTCATTGTGATTTGGAAGGTTTGGGGTCATGCCTGGTTTGGGGCCCAGCTCTATTCTTAGGGATTATACCCAGTTGTGCTCAGGAATCCATGTGGTTTTGGGATCAAATCTGGGCCTCCCACATGCAAAGCATGTACTCAGCCCTTTGAGCTTTCTGGCCCTCATTGTAATTTTGAGCATCATTTCATGTCCTCATTGGCTATTTGTACTTTTTCTTGGCTGAACTGGCTCTTGTGGAAGATTGTTGGGCTACACCGGGTTTATGCTCAGGCTGACCCGTGGTTCTGAGCTCAGGGATCACTTCTAGTGGGCTCAGGGGACTATATGCAGAGCTGGGAGCAAACTGGGGTCAGCCACATGCAAGGCAAACACCTTACACCCTGTACTATCTCTCTGGCCCCAAATTATCTTTTTAGATCCTTTTCCCGTTTTTTAAATTAGATTATTTGTCTTTTCATTTTTGAGTTGTAAGAATTCTATGTATATTTTAACTACAACTCTCTTGTCAGATATTTGTTTTTTGTTTTTGTTTTTTTTTAAATTATTTATTTATTTATTTATTGAATCACTGTGGGAAAGGTTACAAAGCTTTCAGGTTTAGGTCTCAGTCATGCAAATATCAAACACATTTCCCTTTACCAATACTTATTTTTTACCATGAAGAACCCCAATAAAACTCCACCCCCCACCCCTCCCAGTCCCTGTGAGGCAGATGAATTCTAGTTAACACTCTATCTGCTTTGATTAGATTCATTGTTTCAATAAAAGATTCGCCACTATTATTTAGAGTTTACCCCCCCCCCCTGCCAAATCAGACATGCTGAAAAAGCATTGTGAAGTGATTTGCTTTCTACAGCTGGGTTCAAGAATTAAATGTTGGTTTTGGATTTCTGCTATTTTACTTATTGACCCTGGAAGTATTTCTACTGAAAGTCAGATAAGAAATTGGTTTCTGTGCTCTGTAGTCGTGGCCGTGCTGGAGAGCCGCTCATGGGTGGCAACTGGTGGCCTCAGTAGGGTGTGAAGGGCGGACCGAAACACCCCCCTTCCCATGAGGTTTTAGTCGCCCCCACACCCCCAGCTCATACCTGCTGTCCACGAGGCTCCCATGCAGCCGCCATCTTTCTTTCCAGAGAGGAGAGCGCGACTGGGGCAACACCCTTTCCCCTCCGGACAGACATGATGGCCTGGATTAACGCATAGTCCATTCACTTTTCTGCTCCAAGCTGCTGGGTTCTGCATTAAGTCTTTGTGCTTCTGGGGCTGTGGCTGTGCTGGAGAGCCGCTCGTGGGGGGCAACTGGTGACCTCGGTAGGGCGTGAAGGATGGACCGGAACGCCCCCCTTCCCATGAGGTTTTAGTCGCCCCCACACCCCCAGCTCATACCTGCTGTCCACAAGGCTCCCATGTGGCCGCCATCTTTCTTTCCAGAGAAGAGAGGGCGAATGGGGCAACACCCTTTCCCCTCCGGGCAGACATGATGGCCTGGATTAACGCATAGTCCGTTCACTTTTCTGCTCCAAGCTGCTGGGTTCTGCATTAAGTCCTTGTGTTTCTGGGTCTGTGGCCGTGCTCCAAACTTAACTTTGATTTTCAGGGAGAAACGTTGGGTGATTTACTTCCCATTGATCACTTTGTATATAGAGAGATGTCTATTTGGTTTGGAGGAAAAGTTCTAGTTCCCGCATACTCGAGCTGTGCTTGTAGAGGCTTCTGGTCACCGGGGTTCCATCTGGGGCAGGCGGGATGCGGTACCTACCCCATCTGGGACTTCCCGATGATCTCGGCTCTTTTTGGAACCTGTTTTTTTTTTTTTCTTCGGGAGCTGTGGATCCCCGCCCTCCATGTGGCCCTTCTCTTTGGCTGTATCTCTTGTCAGATATTTGAATTACAAATGTTTTCTTATTCTGTGGATTATCTTTCTTGATGGTAGCCTATAAATTGTACCTTGACATTTCATTTCTGAAAATTTGAACTAAGTAAAAAGCAAAAGAACATCTCTCTTCCTCTCCCTCTGCTCTTTCCCTCTCCCTCTCTCCTCCTATTGATCAGTTTTAATCATATAAGACTAAGTGTAGATTTCTTAGTTTGAGTTGACACCCCAATTTTCAGTTTCTCCTGTGGAGCTGCATGTTTCAAAGTCCCCTTTGCTTAAGTCCCAACAAAAATGGACCTGATGGGTCCAGCCACCTCCTAGGTTTTGTCCACCCATATCTGGTTTGAACCCAATACTCTCCCCATGCAGCTGTTTGCAGCTGGAGTGTTCCAGGCTTTTCAGGAATGATCTGGAAGACTGTGAGAATGGTGATCAGGAATGAGAGCCCATGAAGGCACTGCTTCCCTTCTAGAGTCAACCACGCTCCCCCAGGCCATTCTAGCCCCTCGTCTGTAGCAGCCTCTGTATGGTTTCTTCCTGTGTTCATGCCCAGCAGAGCCCCGGGACTACTAGCTATTTTGTGCTCTGGACCATTCAGCGAAGGAATCAAAGCTGGGTTTCCCACATGCAAGGCCTGGGAGATCCTCTCCCTAGTTCCATTATATTTCCAGTAGCAACCAAACTTAACAATGCTTTAAGCTGACCACTCCCAACTGGTGCACAGGGGTCCATGCCCCCTTGAAGCTCTGCTTTAGGTTTGAGGGGACTATGCTTTCTCTATTTCTTCTGTAGGAGTACAAGTTTTCCCATTCTCATAGTTCTTCTCATTCACATAGTTCTTTCCCTTTCCTGTGGATTTCCATGCAAAGTAAGCTCCAGATGGAGCTGATGGAGATAGTAATGGTCGTTCCTCATTCTGAGCACAAATACAGGAGTTCCAAAAGGATGAACCCCACTCGCTATGTTGGTGTGACACTAAAACTGCTCTCTGCACCAGCTTCTATGGAAACAGCCTTCAGGAAACAGGTTCCGTTGCTGAGCTAGGTTTGGAGTTCTGTGCACAGCTCTCTGTGATAACCTGGTCCCATGCCACTATTCACCAAAACTGCATACGTTGCCCACCATACTGTGTGGGTCAGTATTTTCTCACTTGCCAGTACCACACCATTTGCAGCTTTCATTCCCTCCAAAGTGCATATCAAAGCATAGCTGTAGGGACAAGTTTACCCGGGCGGCAGGGGTGGTGACAGTGGTGAGTGAAGGCTTTGCTCTAACATCCAAGGATCATACACCTGAAGTTGCCAACATTTCCTTCTAATTACTGTCACTGTCACTGTCCTCCCATTGTTCATCGATTTGCTTGAGCGGGCCGAGTAACATCTCCATTTTGAGACTTGTTACTGTGTTTGGCATATTGAATACGTCACGGGTACTCTTGGTAGCTTGCTGGGCTCTCCAAGAGGGGCAGAGGAGTCAAAAAGGGTACGAATGAGCTGTGGAGAGTGAGCATTCTCAAAGGGAAGCTACAGGTGTGCACTGGAATCACCGCAGAATTTCCCGTGACCTTATGTCTGTGGTTATGAAGCTAGTTAAGTAAAAAAATATGTGACAAAATAAGCACTGTTCTCTTTCCACCAGGCTGTTTCAGTAAAGACCAGGTGTATCTGGATGGTACACTACAAATTCTGCGCTACAGAGACAGCATAGACTTCCACCTGCTCACTGCTCTTGGCAAGGTGAGTGGGGCTCCCTGTTCACATCTCCTCCAGTTTGGTCTTACCATCCCAGCAAAATGGGCTCACCATGAAATTTTGTTTTATTGTCTCAGTATGTTTTCTTTATGTGATCACAGGAGGGAAGCAGTATGGCTTTGTCACTAGATCTAACATTTTTCTTATGGACAGTCAAAACGAAAAACCAAATTGAACATTTGGGCATATGTTTTTTTTATTTTTTTTAGAGCTGGAGAGATAGTACCGCAGGTAGGGCACTTGTCTTGTACACGGCTGACCTGGCTTCAATCCCCAGCATCCTATATGGTCCCCTGAGTACCTCCAGGAGTCATTTCTGAATGCAGAGTCAGGAGTTACCCCTGAGCATCAAAGGGTGTGGCCCAAACCAAAACAAAAAAAATTAATCAATGTTTTCCAAGGTTACTCTTGGTTCTGTGCACAGGGACCTAACAGTGCTTGAGGGACCATTCCAGGGGATCACAGCTGGGCATTCTGCATTCAAAACTCAGCTCAGTGAGCTCTCTGCAACCACTTGAGCATCTAAAAGTAAGCTGTAGATAGAGCACTTCCCCCTTAAAGGACCTTCCTTCCTTCCTTCTCTCCCTTCCTTCCTTCCTTCCTTCCTTCCTTCCTTCCTTCCTGTCTTTTTGTCTTTCTTTCTGCCACAGATGGAAATACTCAGGGCTTACTCTTGTCTCTGTGCTCAGGGATCACTCCTGGTGATTCTCAGGAGGCCAATATGGCATGTTGGGGATTGAACCCAGGTTGGCCATGTTTAAGGCAGCACCCTACCCACTGTGCTATCTCTTTAGCTCCTGAAGGATTTTCTTGAGAAATTTATTATTTATTCATCAATTTATAAGTTTTCTTATTTTCCTTTACTCATCCCATAAGTTCTTTATAGCTTTTATGTGACCCATGATTCATCAAGATTCACATATACATTTGGCTTTAATCTGTAACAGTCTCCCTTATATTTTGCTTTTTTTTTTTCAGTATTGTTATGGACTTAGTCTTTTTTTTTTTTTAATTCAACCTGTGTGATGGCTGATTTTGTGTTTTAAAAACTGTCTCCATGTTTTCTGGCAAAATAAATTGCTCTGGGTTCATTTTATACCTTTCTACTCAAATCTGAGGTGACAGTTCTTCAAGAAAGGCCTGATAACTTTTAATGGAAAATGACTTAGAAAATAGATCTGTGCCTTAGATGTGTTTATCACTGCTGAAACACTGCTTCTTCCAGACTCAAATAATAAACATCTGTGTTATTTGAGTGGGTGTAAAATTTACTCAATAAAATAATAAATTTTAATAACATTAACTAAAAGATAAAGCAATCAGATGCACAGGTTTCTAGTAAAATAAATAATTTTAATGATTAATTAAAAATAAAGCCATAATGTGTATAGATATCCAGTAAAATAATCAATTTTAATGATATTAAATAAAAAACAAAACAGATGTGTAAGTATCTCACAAAAGTAAAACAGGGTCCTGCCGATCTAAAGTGTGGATCTGAAGCCAATGAATGACATTTCATGGCAGCCAGACTTTAATGTTTCAAAGATCATTTGTAGATTTTATATAACTAGTCTGTCTCTGAGCATCTATATGAGATCAGCTTCTCACTTAAGGTAATGAAAGACAAAGAAAGTTTTTAGGGGCCAGAGCAATAGTACAATGAGTAGGGTGCTTGCCTTGCATGGGGCTGACCTGGGTTCAATCCCCAGGCACCCCTTGTGATTCTCGAGCCCGTGCCTCCCAGGAGTGATCCCTGAGCATAGAGCCAAGAGCCAGGCTCTGAGCACTGGTGGGTATGGCCTAAGAACATAAAACAACAATAAAACCCCAAATTGTTAATATAAAAATAAAAGGTAGAGAATTTAGCATAATTACAATTATCAAATTGAGTAGGAAAAGGAATTTAACATACAATTACATTGAGTTTCCTAGCTTAATATAAGGTATTTCTAATCTAGCTATTTTCTTTATTTTTTTTCATTGAGATTTGGTCAGGATATTTATTTAAGTTTAGAGACATACATATATACTTGGTACATTGAGTAGCTCCAAAATAAGCGTGTTAAACCAAATTTTAACTTAGATCTTAATTTTTTTAAATATTTATTTGAGTGGGAGTCCACATATGGTGACAGGTATGTGAGCCAGAGTCACAGCTCACATAGCCGCATGCCAGGCAATCAATTGCTTTACCTCCTGTACCGTTCTCTCCAGAACTAGATCTTTATTTTTAATATGGTCATGGTATAAAGTAAATGAATTCTGATTTTAGCTATTTTGTAATTTGAAATAGTAATTCTCATTTTGAAAAGCAGTTTGATAAACAATTCCCATTCCTTGTTTCACTTAAGACCCAGGAAGAAATTTAAACTTCAATGTTTTAATCAAGTTTAGGGTCTTTTCCACTTCGTTCTTTCATATGAAGTGTAAGTTGGAGTTAGATTTTTTTTAATTAGTCTATCTTCCTTTTTTCAGGTCTCTTATGAAGATGTGGATCGCCTGAAAGGATTGGCGGTTACTGAGAACATGAGGGTCCCTCACTTCCTGCAGGACCATGGCCGGTACATGGAGCACTTAGAGAAGATCATGGAAGTGAATGAACTAACTGACCGGGAGCTGAAAAATCTTATCTGTTAATTAGCGTTCTTGCAAACACAGTGGAACTATACCTCTATGTATATTAGAATTGGATGCAGTTAGCACTAGCACAGTTATCAATGGATATTTACTTAAGTTTTCTGGGAAATGGTCTGCAGTATTCCACTGACTTTCTAGGTTACATACAAACCACAAATGGTTTCTCAAGACTGCGGGGTCAAGTCAGTCCTCTTTTTTTTATCATCTTCTCGGCAGAGGGAGGTAAAAAGAACACTGAGTACACTTTTGAAGATCCTTGGTCAAACAGCAATAAGCGTCTTCCCCAGCAGCTCATGTGTGAGCACCAAGAACAGTTCCGTTAGAGTTCTACGTTGTCAAACTCGAGTTCTATTTTTATTTGATAAATGATACTTACCCTCACTTGAAAAATTACTTTGGTTTCATCCTCAAAGCTAGATATAATGAAGATTTCTTATTTTTCTTACGCTAAGGAGAATGAGAACACCTGAAAGGTTACTATTACCTATTTGTTTTATACATTATTGTTTCACCATAGCAGTTTCCAAGAGAATTGAGAATTAGAGAATTGCCTCCTTTTTTCCACTTAGCTTTTTACTAAAATTTTTTTTGCTAAGACACATACAACTTCAATGTTTTAACCAAGTTTTAGGGTCTTCTACTTCATTCTTTCATATAAATGGTAAGTATGAGTCCTAGTGAGGCTTAATTATATAAAATAGTTGGGAAAGAGAGAAGCCTCTTGTCGTTATATTAAATGGGACAAACAGCAAAGGGCAAACAATTCATCTAGTTCATTTAGGTACCAGAAGCTGGCTGGATAGACTGGGTAGAACTTGACGATAATCTAAAAACTGTAATTTCTGGGTTTTTCCGTTTGATCAGTTGGCCTTACAATATTGGCTCAAAGCATTTTATCAAAATCTTTGATTTTATCATGCCAATAATAATCTAGTTTGAACTTTAAACACAGAGTTCTGTTTTACTACAGTTCTCTTGCTAATTCATCTAGCTTTGTAGGATATGAATTTGAACATATATTGAGATCAAAGGTTCTTAAACTTATTTTAATGATCAGAAAGAATAGTTCTGTAAATAGCCATTCAAAATTGCTACCATAACTTCTACCTAAAGCTATCTGAGAATAATTTTTACCTCAGTTTAGCCTGAAATGTGGTGCTAGCACGGATAGATGTGTACTACGAGCCTGAATCCCATTCATGTTAGTGCATGGTTTCAGGAAGTCCTTAGCATATGAGATTCTCTAACTTTTCTCTCATACGAGGAAAGAGGCTTTCCTCAAGAATTTCGCAGTAGCCAGGATGGCCTGAGGCTGACTACCGGATGGGTGAAAACACTCCAGCTGTTGGTGGGGTGAGGCCCCCTGAGCACTGACAGGGCCCGCTGGGAGAGCTGTGCAGGGCTGGGCACCAGAGAGCCCCACAGACACAGACAACCTCTAGACTCCCAGATGAGATTTCCTGGTACCCAAGTCATATAGTTCCTGTTTTGTCATGTGTTTTCTGGCTTAATCTTTAAACTTAACAAAGGTGAAATGTAAAAATAGAGACAGAAGGGACAATATTTATATTCTGTGGTTTAAACCCACATGTTTGTAAATTCAGCATTTATAGTCAGTAATACTACTAGTTACCAATTTTGGTTTAAATATTGAGGAAAATCACAGTAGCCTTAATTTCATATTGGTAGAATTGTTTGAAATGGTTCTATTTCCTTGGGTTGTAAACTGGATACATATTTTTTCTTTATATGATTTGGAAAAGGAAACTCTTTCTTGCCTTACAGCTTTGGTGTAAAAGACATGAAAACTATCCTAACCAAAAAAAAAATGACCTTAAATCATATTGATTGTCTTAACATATTTTAAAAGTTAGCAATGAACAAAATCTTAGATTAGCAGAAATACTTAAAAGAGCCCTAAGCTTTAAAAATTGGAGTTGAATAATTAATGTCTCTTCTCTTACCTACAAATAGCATTAAGATCAATTTTGTTCCTTATAATGACATTTTTATTATTAATAGAAAATTATTAGCAATATTTGGACAAACAGTTGGAGATCATATTTTCATTATAATTGTTGCTAGCTATAGGCTATTGATTGGAATTCCTTCAATTTTGTTCACTGTAATTCTAATCTTATATCAAATACAAATTCTGATAAATTTAGGTTTTCAGACCATACCGGATTCAAAATTTTTTTGCAAACATAAATCTATAGTTCTTGTTTTTTTGTATTTTCATCTTTACAAAAGTATTTAAAATTTGTATTGTTTGTTTTGTATATCTTTGGGGATTTTGTGTCAGCTACAATAGAAATAAATAATACTGAAGTTCTTAAATACTTTAAGTATGTGGCTATGTGTGCATGCAAACTTTTGTTGTTTGCAAACTGGATTATATTTTTGTGGTATTGCTCTTTTTGTATTGTAGTAATTACTGATGGGACTGAATTGGTCTTTGAATATCCCTATTTACACAGAAACTCTAAGTTATTACTCTCTGCCTTTCACCTGATTAGTTTAGCTCATACTCTCGCTGGGAGAAGGGAAGAGGCTGAGGGACAATTCTCTCGATGTACTTCCTGGTTCATTTTAGTAAATTCTTGTGCAGAACTTCTTGAGCAGGAGCTGTGCTGAATGCTAGAAATTTTCGGATGAGGAATAGAGGAACTGTTCATAGTCCGTTGAGAAATAGTAGCACAAAACCAGGTCACCACAGGAACAGTCCCTTACCCAGAAAGTGCAACCAAAAGAACATGTACTGGGGCCAAAGAAGGTAGTTTCAGAGGTGAAGGTGCTTGCCTTGCACGTGGCTGATGAAGGCACCATCCCCAACAACACATGTGGTCCCCTGAGCACTGCCACTGCCACGAGTGATCCCTGATGTGGTTCAGAACTGGAATCACATCTGGAGAAAGGGGTGAGCAGGAGTGTGAGCATCATGACAAGACGTCCAGCTGCTCTCCTAAAGAAGCTTTAGTTGTGGGACTTGGGATTGAACTGGGGTTGGAGGCATGCAAGGCAAGAGCCCTACCCGCTGTAATATCACCACCCACTGCAGAGACTTCATTTCCCAAAACATATACAATCCTATTGTAAACCATGTTGCTCCAATTTAAACACAGTCCCTAGCAAGGCTGAGCCGACTAAAATGATTGTCTCCTGAAAGCACTTAGCTAAGTTGGCATAGGGGACTACTGTTATTTGAAGGTGACAATGCAAAACTTCAAGGAACATAGGAAATGAAGGAACTGTGACATCACCTAAGGATCAGGAATCTCCAGTAATTGATACCAAAGACACAGAGATCTGCAACAGATACAATAAAACTGTTCTGTAAAACAAAACAGAAATGCTCCACCCTGCTCCTCCACCACCCCCCCTTACCCCCGAACTGAGCTTCCATATGATCTAGCAATTCCACTCCTGGGAGTATACATCAGGGCCCCCAAAACACAAGGAACAGATGGTGGGAAAAGTTGTGGTACACAATGGAATGAGCTGGAGTGATAGCACAGCGGGTAGGGCGTTTGCCTTGCAAGCGGCCAACATGGCCGACCCGAGTTCGAGTCTTACGCCCCTCTCGGAGAACCCAGCAAGCTACCGAGAGTATCTTGCCCACACTGCAATGCCTGGCAAGCTACCCGTGGTGTATTCGATATGCCAAACACAGTAACAACAAAGTCTCATGATTGAGATGTTACTGGGCCCGCTGGAGAAAATCGATGAACAACGGGAGGACAGTGACAGTGACACAATGGAATAATATGGAGCCATAAGAAAAGATTAAATCATGTAATTTTCTGTATGTGGATGGATCTGGAGAGTGCCATGTTGAATTAAGCTAGAGAGGGACAGACAAGAATTACCTTATATGTAGAATAGAAAGAAACAGAAGAACATGCCCAGTGCAATAGAAATGAAAATCACGAGAACTCTTCTTCAGTAGGAAGCATCCACTGGTGGGGGTGCTGAGGAGAGTGTGGTGGAGGGAGATTGTCACTCTGGAGGAGGGTGGGATGCTGGGACAGGGTAAAGTGTTTCCCTGAAACCACATCTGTAACAGTGTTGTAAACTACCACCTTAAAAAAAACATTGCTGCCATAGAGGCAGCTGATGGTGGAGTGAAGTGGACATTGGTGAAGGGAATGTATTGGGACATTGTGCACTTGAAACTCAATCATAAATAACTGTAAATCATGCTGCCTCTAAAAATAAAAAAAGCTTTTGAATACTGATGCTCAGTGAGCTACAAGCAGGCAAATAAAATGATTCATTGAAAGCAGATGAACAGCAGCACTTCGACCAAAGGAGCATTTTAACAATAAAGGTCCAAAGCCTGGAACTGAAGATCACAATAACTGAAATGAAAAATACAGCAGAACCAACATTAAAGCAGAGGAATCTTAGAACTGGAAGGAAGATGGACGCTGAAATTATCTCTGAGGCAGGGAGAACAAGGTAAAAAGAATGAAGAAAGCCTACATGATCTTGAGATACATGTTTTTAATTGCTGTTGATAAGAGTTCCTGGGTGGGGGGGAAGTGTGGAGCTGATTGATGTTAAGCAGTAATGGCTGAGAACGTCCCAGATCTGGAGAGAGGTGTATATCCAACATCATGAAGCTCGAAACTGCACTAAAACTGCCAAAAATCAAAGACAAACTCAAAAGTTACGAGAAAAGCTGTTTATAATTGAAAAGGGCCTGCGAGACGGCTCGAGAGGCCAAGGCACATGCTTCCATGCAGAAACGATAGCACCATGTGGTCCCTGAGCACTGTGTCTGGAGTAGCCACCAAGCACAGCTGATTATGACTCCTATCCCCCCACACCCCACCCCCAAGTGAAATAAAAGCTATAAAGCAGAAGGGGAGCTCCCGCCGACTACAGTTGTATCAGAAACCTCAAGAGTCAGGACACTTTATGTTCCCCAGATGAATGCAATCTTTCTATGTCTGTCCCTCTCTTTCTGACTCATTTTGCTTAGCATAATATTTTCCATGTAGTGCCACTTGTATGTAAATTTCATGACTTCATTTTTTCTAACTGCTACATAGTACTCCATTGTGTAGATGTACCAAAGTTTCTTTAACCAGTCATCTGTTCTCGGACACTCAGGTTTTTTTCATATTCTAGCTATTATAAACCGTGCTGCAGTGAACAAACAAGTGCAGTTGTCGCTTCGACTAGA